AAATGATTAATTCGTTTTTAATCTTCACCCAAACAGCAACAAACCCAGACATGAAGATTGGTGCTAGTGAATGGTTGATAGCCAACATAGACATGAAGGGCTTTTATAGAGTAAATTATGATTCTGAAAACTGGGACCGTATCCTCACCAAGCTGAGCACCCAACATCAGGTATAACATCTAGAATACCTCTGCGTTATCTCTTAATAGCTACGATTGCCTCCAGACAAATTTTTTAATGTGCCTTTTAGGATATTCCAGTGATCAACCGCGCTCAGATTATTGACGATGCATTTAACCTGGCAAGGTGAGGCCATGCTTTTTTATTTTATTTTATTTTATTTTTAGCAGTACTGCTAAATACTGAAATAAACAACTGAACAGCTGTATGGGTTATTTTTAGGGCGAAGATAGTCAGCACAACTCTGGCACTGAGCACTACGAGGTTCCTCGACGCGGAATTGGAGTACATGCCCTGGCAGACTGCCACTCGCAACTTGGACTACTTCGTCCTCATGTTTGACCGCAGTGAAGTGTACGGACCCATGCAGGTTTGTAGGAAAACTTTAAGGCTCATCATCATCAGTACATCATCAATAAATTAATCCAAACAAGTTTTTGGAACAATGACGATTTGAGATTAATCGTGTAAGTTAATCATAGAAGTAGAAGAGTCAGTGGCAATCAAACGTAGATCATTTTTTCTGCACAGTAAACAAACTGTTTCATCTTCATTCCTCAGGCTTACATAAATAAAAAGGTCACCCCTCTATTTAAACACTTCGAAGATCTCACTGCCAACTGGACAAAGATTCCTGAAAAGCACACCGACCAGTAAGGATGTTAACCTGCTGCCTGTCTTTTTTACTCTTTTGATTTTGCTATAAATGCCATGAATGACAATTACATTGTAGACTAGATTAGCCTTATTATCCCAGTTGCAAAAGCCTGCAGTTTGCAAAGAATGTGCCGTCAATGTCATGTAAGACACAGTACTTCACACATCTCTTGAAAGTGTTCACAACAATCATTGATCAAGTCTGCACATAATTCTTCCCTTTTCTCTCCCACCACTGCATTTCTATGAGCTAACCTAATCTGGTCAGTTATCATCAAGTTCGCTTTGTGTGTCCTCAGTGATTTCCATTAACTTGAGATATTAGTGCTGCAATGATCTTTTTAGCATTATCAGATCATTTTTCTTGGTAACCCAAAAGGAAATCAAATCAGCTATACTGAACTTATATTGTTAATTAGCACATATTAGCATGATGATATAATAAACCATGTGATGTGAATGTGTTAAACACATTCTGCGTATTAGCACTGCCAGATAGCATTAAGCTTCAGTTCAATTCAATGCAGTTTTATTTATACAGCGCCACATCACAACAATAACGGTCTCCTCAAGGCACTTTATATTGTAAGGTAGACCCAACAGTAATATAACAGAAAAAAACCCAGCAATCATGTAAACCCCCCCACCATGATGAAATGCTTTGGCGACAGTGGGAAGGAAGAAACCTGCCATAGAACTAGGCTCAGGCCGGGTGAGGGAAGGAAGACAGGACAAAAGACATGCTGTGGAAGAGAGCAAGAGATTAATAATAACAAATGATTAAATACAGAGAGGTGTATAAACTTATAGTGAGTGGAAAAGGAGACAGAAGAAAGAGCTTAT